AAATAAGTTGATGACGTTTATCAGTAGGAATAAGTACATGAAAAAAGTCATGTAGATGGGGTTGGCCAGGGGATAATACAACTTAATCACTTCACTTAGTTGTCACACTCTTGTGAGATTCATCATTACTATATATTATAAATACATTTATAAATATGGAAAATTATAGATGGCGACCCATCGCCATGGCGACCCCTATATGATCGGCCAATCATTTTTGAGATTGGCGATCATATATAAACATTGTTTGTTTTTTTTTTTTGCTTTTCATCTGCTTTTGATTTTTCTTTCGCTTTTGATTTTTCTTTCGCTTTTAATTTTTCTTTCGCTTTACCTTTTATTTATTTATTTTTTCTTTTTTTTTTTTGTTTTATTTTTTTCGTTTTATCTTTTTTTTATTTTTTATGTCTTTCTTTATTTTCTTTTTTTTCTTTTATCTGTTTTTTCGATCTTTACTTTCTTTTTTTCTTTTGTTCTTTACTTTCTTTTCGCTTTCCTCTTTTGTATTCCTCTTGTTTCCGTCCTTTTTTTTTTTTCTATTTCTTTCGCCTTTTCTCTTTTTTATTTTTTTTCTCATTTCTTTCGTCTCACTTTCGTTTCTTACTCTCATTTCTTTCGTCTCTTACTTTCGTTTCTTACTTCCCTCGTTTTTTACTTTCGTCTTTTTTTCCTTGTCTTCCTTTTTTCTTCGCTTATCTTTTTCTTCGCCTATCTTTTTTCTTTCGTCTTTCTTTTTTTTTCGCCTTTCTTCTTCCTTTCGTCTTCCTTTTTTTCTTTCGTCTTCCTTTTTTCTTTCGTCGTCTTTTTTTTTCGTCTTCCTTTTTTCTCTTGTCTTCCTTTTTTTCTTTCGTCTTCCTTTTATTCTTTCGTCTTCCTTTTTTTCTTTCGTCTTCCTTTTTTTCTTTTCGTCTTCCTTTTTTTCTTTCGTCTTACTTGATTATTTCGTCTTATCGCTTTTCTTTTCACCTTCCCTTTTTTTCTTTCGTTCTACTTCATTTTGTCCTTTCCGTTTCATCTTTTTTTTTTTATCATCCTTACCTTTCGCTTTTTTTTCATTTTTCATTTTATTTTTCTTGTTTTATTTTCCTCTTACCTGAACTAACATTCTTTTTACTCTTTTATCTAGGTATAATTCGTTGTTACCAAAGTTGTCGTCGCTGGAATCGTTGCTGGAGCCGTCACTGGAATCGTTGCTGGAGCCGTCGCTGGAATCGTCGCTGGAATCGTCGCTGGAATCGTCGCTGGAGCCGTCGTTGGAAGTTTCGTTGGAAGTTTCGTTGAAAGTTTCGTTGGAAGTTTCGTTGAAAGTTTCGTTGGAAGTTTCGTTGAAAGTTTCGTTGGAAGTTTCGTTGAAAGTT